TTTAGGGTTGAGGGTTTAGGTCTGAAACCCTAGACTGACAAGTATTCCATGCTGGGGGCCCCTCACCTCGCCGCGAGCTGCGTAGTTTGCCAACCGCTCCTCTGGACCTCTGGCGGGGGTGTGGAACGTGTGGGGGTTTCCGAAATTAGGGGTACCTTATTGGGGTCCTTATTCTAAGGGAATCCCACTATTTCGGGGGTCACCTATGTTCATAAACCCCCCCATGTTCGTAGTTTGGCGCATGCCGCCTTGTCACTCGAAAGAAGTCTAGATTATACCAAGTCCATCTTGCAACATACCGAGCATGCGAACAAATCTCATGAACCCTAAACCCTAAACCCTAAACCCTCAAAAGGATGCGTGGCCCTTGCTGCCTGAGTTGTGTCTCGCAGAAGTACCGGCCATCTAGGTCAAGCTCGATCCTAGGCCTATGCTTGGATCCATGGTGCCGGAAAACCGTAAACCCTAAACCCTAAACCCAAGACCCTAAACCCTAAACCCTATTTAAACCCTAAACCCTTGCCGAGAGTCGCCAACGGCCCCTACAAGTCCCTAACCTCTCTGCTTCGTCATACGGGAGTCCACAAACCTCACCCCCAAAGGGTATATAACCCCGGTTTTGTCGGTACCCTCTCTACAACCCTACCCCTAAGGCTCCAAGGACTCTTATTTAAGGGTTTTTGGGCCCAAAGGCCATATTTTACAAGGTTTTGAGGCTATTTTTGCCCTAAAGGCACTGTTTACAAAAATCGCTTAGCCCCACAACCGAACCCTACTAACCCAGGAAGCGAGACTCCTCGCGCATCTTGGCTTCGGGCTCAGCATGTTGCCACGAATGCCGTTGAAGCGGTTCCCTCGCCACCTGCGCAGACCAGACCAGTCTGGTGGCAAAGCCAACATCATCACGCAGCACTTCTTAAAATCCGTGATATCTGCTGACAGTAGTAGTAGTAGTAGTAGTAGTAGTAGTAGTAGTAGTAGTAGTAGTAGTAGTAGTAGTAGTAGTAGTAGTAGTCGTCGTAGTAGTAGTAGTAGTAATAGCAGTAGTAGTAGTAGTAGTAGTAGTAGTAGTAGTAGTAGTAGTAGTAGTAGTAGTAGTAGTAGTAGTAGTAGTAGCAGTAGTAGCAGTTGTGGTAGTGGTAGTGGTAGAAGAAGTAGTAGTAGTAGTAGTAGTAGTAGTAGTAGTAGTAGTAGTAGTAGTAGTAGTAGTAGTAGTAGTAGTAGTAGTAGTAGCAGGAGTAGTAGTAGTAGTAGTACTACTACTACTACTACTACTAGTAGTACTAGTACTAGTACTAGTACTAGTACTAGTACTCGTAGTAGTAGGAGTAGCAGTAGTAGTATCTTGTGCAGAATCGCAGGTAGCCTGCCCCACGATGTTTGCCCAATTTTTAAGGCTTCCTTTAGGAAAAACAGCGTCCACTGTAAATACCAACGTAAACTGCCTCTGCGCTGTTTCCGGACATTGACATATTCTCTCAAACTCCACGGGCGTCTACGCGCCGTGTCAGTAGTTAGTGGTAGTTGCGATACTACTTCGTAGTAGCTAGTAGTAGTTAGTCTTTGGTAGTAGTCGGTAGTAGTTGGCAGTAGTTGTCGTAATTGTACTAGCAGCACTAATACGAACACAATGCTATGCCACACGACAAGACAATAATTACAGGGAATTCTGTCCTCGGTTGTTGAGAGCCGGCACGCTTCATAGGAACTCTACATCCTAAAACCAGCAAGCCTCAATCCAAACCAGGCCAGAGACTCCAATATCCCTATCAATTCAGGAAAATTCCTTACAGTATAAGAGGGTTCCTTATATGGTTTGAGGAATATTCTTTAATTAAGGGGGTATTGGAGTCTTTGGGAGCAAACAGGCGCTGTCGGAATCTCGTCTTTTCTCGCAGACACAGGCAAACGAGATCGGCAACAGAAGGTGGCCGCGAGGAATGCTACATACCTCTTCTCTAAACACAAGGGCTCAGGGCTTGGGATTTAGGGTTTAGGATTTAGGGTTCAGCTCTGTAGGGGAGGCTGTTTCTGCTGGGCCTTTGTACGCACCCTCCAGAATCCTCCGAGCCTAGAACCTTCCGCTGGAAGCCTTCAACCACTAAGGCTTTGCTGGGTGTACCACCATGAATTGATAAAACCCTAAGCTTCTACACCCTGCTACCCTTGGAGGGTGGGAGGGGGGCACGAGTAACCATCTTGAGTCCCAAACGCCCTGCCCCCAAACTATCCCAAATTGCCCGCAGCTACCCCTGAATACCCCCCAAAAAAATCTTAAAACTACCCAAATACCATAGTCGTCCTAAAGCCTCAAAGCACCTTAAATTACCCCTTAAATACCCTATACTAACCATACATAAATTACCCGAAAGCCTCAAAGCAGGGATGCATTTAAACACTGCACCCGGGCTTTTACCGCGCTCAGAATCTGCCTGGCCAAGGCCGGGATGGGGCTTTAGGCTTTGGGGTTTTAGGGTTAGGGGTTTAGGGGTTTAGGGGTTTAGGGTTTAGGGTTTAGGGGTTTAGGGGTTTAGGGGTTTAGGGGTTTAGGGTTTGGGGTTTGGGGTTTGGGGTTTAGGGTTTAGAGTTTCGGGTGCATAGGGGTTAGGGTCTGTATAGGGTTTAGGGTTCATGGTGTATGGGGTGTATAGGGTTTAGGTTTCAGGGTTTCGGGTGCATAAGGGTCAGGGTTTGGGGTTTACGCAGTATCGGCGTTAATTAGGGTTAAGGGTGTGCGGGGGTTAGTGTTTGCGCAGGGCTTGGGGTGTGTAGGGTTTAGGGTACATCGGGCTAAGAAACCCTAAACCCTAAACCCTAAACCCTAAACCCTAAACCCTAAACGCTACCTAAACCCTATAGGGTTGAGGGCAGGCTGATAAAGCTTCAAGTGGCATCCCACGGGCCCTCACATCCTAAGGCGAAACTCCGGAGCTCGAATAGCGCCAATGCAAAATTGGGTTTAGGGTTTAGGGTTTAGGGTGTAGGGTTTAGGGTATATTTAGGGTTTACTGAAAACTGAAGCCTTGAAAGGGTTCAAAAGCTTTTGGGTTAGGAACTGCTTCGGGCTTGAGATTTCGGGTTTCCCCTAAACACCAAAAACTCACACATCACATTCAGCACCCTCCCAATCCCAAACCCCAAACCCCAAACCCCAAACCCCAAACCCCAAACCCTAAACCCTAAACCCTAAACCCTAAACCCTAAACCCTAAACCCTAGGGCGGGAGGGGGTAGTATAGAGGTCTGAATATGACGACCCTGTGTCCCCAACTGAGCCTGCTTCCCAACGACCTTAACCCTAAACCCTAGCCCTAAACCCTAAACCCCAAAACCCTAAACCCTAAACCCTAAACCCCAAACCCCAAACCTGACCCATGAAACCACGGGATGACGCTCGGCTTCAGGGTTCAGGGCTATTGGGGCCTCGGGTCTGGAAACCTAAGGTTTAGGGTTTAGGGTTTAGGGTTTAGGGTTTAGGGTTCAGAGCTTGGGGTTTGGGCTTTGGGTGAGGGTGTCCAGGCGTGGGGTCTGAGGCTTCGATGCAGTAAGGACTTTGACCCCAGAGACGTTTTAAAACCCTAATAAACCCTAAACCCGAAACCCAACACGCTAAACCCCCAAGCCAACCTTTCCCCTAAAGATCCTCTGAAACCACTGAAGCCTAAACCCTAGGCCCCAACAGCCCGAAGCCATACCCCACAAACGTTGAAACCCTAGAGCCTAAACCTTGAGAGCCTTGTACCCTAAACTACCCTTAACTACCCTAAACCCTAAATCCTAAATCCTAAACCCTGAACCCTAAACCCTACACCTGAAGCAACTCCAACAGCCCCCTCACACCTGATATCAAGATTTCATGGATTTGCAGGCAGTTATGTGGAATTATGAGAATTTAAATGGAATTTCATGGAATTATATGGCGGCAAGTCCAGGGCTTTGGTGTTTTTGGCGGGGCTTTAACTGAAGCCTTCTCAAGCCCTAAACCCTAAACCCTAAACCCTAAACCCGAAACCCTAAACCGTAAACCCTAAACCCTAAACCCTAAACCCTAAACCCTAAACCCTAAACCCTAAACCCTAAACCCTAAACCCTCAACCCTAAACCCTAAACCCTACCTACGTGCCAAACATCACGGCCTGAGTTGCAGCACTGCCTGCACTTCCTCCGCGAAGGCCTTAGAGTGATGCGGCGTCTGTTCTTAGTCAGGGATTAGGGTTGGTTTAGGGCTTAGGGTTTAGGGTTTAGGGTTTAGGGTTTAGGGTTTAGGGTTTAGGGTTTAGGGCTTAGGGTTTAGGGTTTAGAGTTATATAAGGGCTTAGGGTTTAGGGATTAGGGTCTACGCAGGGACTTTTGAGTTTAGAACAACGCCCTGTGGTGGTGGTTTAGGGTTTAGGGTTTAGGGTTTAGGGTTTAGGGTTTAGGGTTTAGGGTTTAGGGTTTAGGGTTTAGGGTTTAGGGTTTTGGGTTTTCTGGGCTTTGTGTCCATGGAGTTGGTGTTTATGTGGAAACAAGCAAAGGTTTCGACTTACAGGTTGTTTGGTTTTGGCATTGGCCCTATGAATATTGCTTGTGGATCTGACATTGTGTATCTCAGGGGATTCTCGTGACTTTGTTGATGGGCCCTTTCGGGATACCCTAGATGAACAAAACACATAATATATATATCTGTATATTGTATATATATATATACATACATACATACATGCATACATAAGGCTCTGTATTCTCACAGGATCCTCGACAGGACAATAATTTTCCACGTGCAGGTGGCACACCTAGGAAGTGAAATTCGAGGCAGTCCAACAGATGAGACGGGTCGACCCAAGAAGCAGGGGTGACCCTAAGCGCAAAGCCCCAAATCCCAAACAGGGCGAGAAGGGAAAAAGGGTATAGGGTTTAGGGTTAGAGTTTAGAGTTTTATAGCCAGTTTCAGCCAGAGTACCTAGAGTTTCGCCCACTCATAACTTTACGTCACCCAGGAACCTCCAAGTAGGGCTGCTATCATCCATGCAAGCGCCACGCCTGCACGTGACCCCGTGCCGTACCACCCACAGCTCCCAGCAGAGGCAAGGCCTGCAAAGGCACTAGGGTTTACAGGGTTTAGGGTTTAGGGTTTAGGGTTTGGGGTTTAGGGTTTAGGGGTTAACGGTTAGGGGTTTGGAATGAGCGTTTAAGGTTCAGCTTCTGTTTCGTTTCGGGGCGACAGCAAGAGATAGGCACATTCTCAACTTTACATAGTAAGACCCGAAGCCGTGGAAAGCCCACAGCGCCTTATACCTCAACCCGACACCCTATAAGACCTGTAAGCCCCCTGAAAGCCCTTCACCCCGATTCAGCCCGGTCAAAGTCACAAAAACCAAGCCCTAAACCACTACGAACACGACGGCCTAAACCACTCTGAGCCCTACACGCCTTTCTTGCAGCGTCGGTAATGGTTTAGGGTTTAGGGTTTAGGGTTTAGGGTTTAGGGTTTAGGGTTTAGGGTTTAGGGTTTAGGGTTTAGGGTTTAGGGTTTAGGGTTTAGGGTTTAGGGTTTAGGGTTTAGGGTTTAGGGTTTAGGTGGGGGCTTGCAGGCTCCAAACCCTTGGTAGCCCAGCCACCACATTGGGAATAAGGACACCCTTTTGGGGGGTTGGTTATGTTACATGGGAACCTTGAACCAACAAAAGGGAAAAGGGTAGCGAATGGGCTGCCAAGACCCAAGAAATCCAATAGCCTCTGGACTCTAAACGTCCTCTACCCTAAACCCTAAACCCTAAACCCTAAACCCTAAACCCTTAACCCTACACCCTAAACCTAAACCCTAAACCACAAACCAGCAAAACCTGAACGCCGGTTGGAACCAAAGAGCCAACCATCTACAGACTCACTCCCAAAGTAGGCAGACTTTGTAAACATGGAGGCCCAGAGTAAACCAGCATAGATTTTTCTTTAATCCTAATCCCTATAAATGCTAAACCCTACGAAACCGATTGAGCACGCCATGTCCCCGCTCTGCGAGACTCTACACCTTCACTTGCACCCTGACCCTGAACTTCTAAACCCTCAACCTTCAACCCTGAGCCGGACCCCTAACCACTAATCCCTAAAACCCAAAAATTCCACAACCACAAAAGCCCTAAACCCCCCCCAAAAAACCCTAAACCCTAAGCCCAAAAACACCCAAACTCTAAACCCCAAAAAATCTAAACCCTAAACCCTAAACCCCGAAACACCTACACCCCCAATCTCAACCGCAAAGTCACAAAGTCCCCGCCCACCTCGCGAACTTCGCCACTGGATGCGGCGCGGCCCAGAAGGCGTAAGTCGCGGGCTGCCTGCGACTCCTGCACTCTCAACGGCCGGGCTTCAGGGCTGGGGTTGCTAGGGTTTAGGGTTCAGGGTTTAGGGTTTAGGGTTTAGGGTTTAGGGTTTAGGGATTAGGGTTCAGGGTTCAGGATTCAGGGTTCAGGGTTCAGTTTACAAAGGGATCCTAACTGCTTTAAAAGGGAACGAAATGCTACTGGGCATCCTAGATGTAACAGGGTGTGTTTAGGTTTCAGAGTGCTCCACCCCCCCCCCCCCCCCCTCCCAGGGCTGACGTCTTTCCATCGTTGCCTTCGGCTTACTGTTGCTTCGTATGGGCCCATAATAGAGTCACTGAGTACCTCACTCCCTCATTCCCAACTACGAAGCGGCCGGTCCTTGGGCATCTCCACACTCTGGCCGTCGAGGATGTAGAACTGCCGGAACACCTTCGGGACTTCTCAGCGCAACCCTGACATCTCCAATGACCAAGGCAGAAAAGAGGTCAAACTTTGTTATTCCTACTGAATAAGGAAGCCCGAAAAGTTTAAAGTTAAACTATTGGCTCACCCTAAGCCCTAAACCCTAAACCCTAAGCCCTATAAACCCGAAACCCGAAACCCTAAACCCTAAACCTCTAGGAGACCTACTCCAGCCGGACACCCGGTGGGCGCCCCGAGTCTCGCGACTCAACACCGAAAAAACACAATCCGATCATGTTAAGTCCTCCACGTGTAAGTTTAGGGTTTAGGGTTTAGGGTTTAGGGTTTAGGGTCTAGGGTTTTGGGGTTTTAGGGTTTTAGGCTTTAGGGGCCTTGTTCCTCAGGCCCTGCAGCGGACTTGCTGGCTGTACAGTTCAGGCGAAGGGCGCCAAAACCAACACTTCATTCGTGAACCAGGTTTAGGGTTTAGGGTTTAGGGTCATAAGCCCAAAACCTCCAAACCTCCAACCAAACTCGAACTCCTCTCACCCCGCAGAAGATTCCAAACCTACAAACCTGAACACGCTGAACTCTCCCATCCCTCCCACCCCCCAGCCCTGCCAGTTCCTAAACCCTAAACCCTAAACCCTAAACCCGAGCCTGCCCCAACACCGCCGCCAGCAAGCCGGACGAGGGAGGGAAGAATGCTGCGGCTGCCTGGGGCGAGAAATTTCAAGGTCTGGGGGTTTAGGGTTAAGGACTAGGGAACCATTTCTGGGTGTTGGACTGCTTAGAATCCCCTTTTAGCCCTCACACCCAAACCCAAAGGACTCTTCAGGTTTGCAGCGCTATGGTGCCCTAGCACAGATGGACCCTAACCGAAGCCCCCGATGTAAGCTGCAAGCGAAGTCGTCGATCTTCTTCTTGAGGTGGTGCTGCAGGGTTGGCTCCTGCTCGGAGTTTTGCAACCCTAAACCCTAAACCCTAAACCCTAAACCCTAAACCCTAAACCCTAAACCCTAACCCCTAAACCCTAAACCCTAAACCCTAAACCCTAAACCCTAAACCCAAACCCTAAACCCTAAACCCTTTAGGGTTGATGGGCCTCAATCAGGATTAGAGATTTTGGGTGTTCTTGCTTCAGAGTTGTTGGCCCAGTAGGACTCATAGGCCCTTAGTTGGGATTGGGGCTTTGGGTGTCCTGGGTTCAGGGAATTTAGGTTTGTGGGCTTAGGGATTACGAGCTTTTGACTCAGAAGGGGGGGGGCTTAGCGATTTAGGGTTTGCAGGAGTGTCTCTTGGATTGCATGGAAGAAACACCAGGGATCCTAGACTTGGTGTCGGCCCGGTACCCTAGATCCTAATGTTGGACCCGTTTAAGCAGGGGCCTCCTCTATAAAGTCAATTTGGCTGTGTTGTTCAGGACATCCTGACTGTCTGGGAGTCCCTGTTTAAAGTCAAATCGTCCGGGCGCCGTAAGAAAATTCGACGTGGCGCGCGATTAAAAAAGATTGCCGGGCATCGCTGCCCCTCTTAAAGCTTATATAAACTCCTCCCTATTTAAATCATATAAAGCCCCGGGGCCGTCTAAACAGAGCAAAATCCAGCCTTGACTGTTCAGGGGGGCGGGGGGGGGGGGGGCAAGCCCTAAAGCCTGCCTACACTCCAAATCCTAAACCCTAAAGCCTACACCCTACCCTGAAACTGTATTAGCATCCCAGAGCATGGGTTGTTCTAACTCACACCCCCTTTAAAAGCAACTCTGTAACTCAAATACAAATGGCTTAAAGGTTTAGGGTTTAAGTTTCCGGTGTTTGCGGCTTAGGTGGACACAGAAGGGGGTTTTGGAGCTACAACCCCAAACCCTCAACCCAAAAGTTGGCGCTTCCGTGGGACTGCCTGGAGCATATGCTATACTGTACTTCAGGCTCGAAGGACAGCCGAACTGGCGCAGCCGCTACTAGACCCGGGAGTAACCTAGGAATAACCAGAGTGCCAGGTTTTAAGGGGATGATACGGGAACCCCAACCCTAAATAACAGAGGAAAAAAGGGGCCTACGCCCGGTTTTAGGCTAGGGTTCTCCAGCTTCCAGCAAGCTTGCAGTCTCGACGCGGTGCCCAGAACATGCATACATGAGCGGTGCAGCCGGACCTGTTCTGCAAGTTCTTGTCGGCACCGGCGTCCAGCAGCAAACGTACAACCTCGGCGTGGTCGTCGTGAAAAGAGGCATACATGAGAGCTGTGTTGCCGCAGAAGTCCTGCAAGTTCGTGTCGGCACCGGCGTCCAGCAGCAAACGCGCAATCTCGACATGGCCCCAGGAAGATGCCATCATGAGAGCAGTCTCGCCGCTCTCGCACTTTCGCAAGTTGCTCTCGGCACCAGCGTCCAACAGCAAACGCACAATCTCGACGTAGTCGCCGTTGAAAGATGCGTACATGAGAGCTGACCTGCCGCACCAGTCCTGCATGTCCTTGTCGGCACCTGCGTCCAGCAGCAACCGCACAATCTCGACGTGGCCGTTGAAAGATGCACGCATGAGAGCAGTCTCACTGCCATCTAAGTTCTGTAAGTCTTTGTCGGCGCCGGTGTCCAGCAGCAAACGTACAATCTCGACGTGGCCCTCGGAAGATGCATGCAGGAGAGCGGTCTCTCCGCACCAGTCCTGCAAATTCTTGTCGGCACCGGCATCCAGCAGCAAACGCACAATCGCGACGTAGCCGTTGAAAGACGCGTGCGTGAGAGCGGTCCGGGCGGACGCGTCCTTCAGGTTCGTGTCCGCACCCGCGTCCAGCAGCAAACGTACAATCTCGACATGGCCCATCTTCGATGCGAGCCTGAGAGCGAAGTTCTTGTCCCACGTCCACGTGACCCTTTTCGGCAGCATACTGAAGAAACTCGTCTTCAGCCTGAGGCATCTGCTCTTGGCTGAGGGTGGATATCAGTACCAGCTGCAGGTCAACGGGCCCGACTAGGGAATCAAGATCCCCCAAGCATCGGCCAGCCTGTAGGAGCTGTTGCAGGCAAACTGGGAAGCCATGCCGGCTTCGCAAGTATCGTTTCAAGTCGATCACCTGTTCAAGTGCGTCGCCCACAGGCGCTGCGGCCAGCTCTTGCCCGGAAACACCCCAGATGCGAAGCATTGCGTGGACCTGAAGAGCTGCTGCTCTAGCCAATGAGAGACGTGCCTACTTCTGTCAAGACTCGCAAAGACGAAGCTCAACCATCGAATTGCCCCCGCACCCCACCCAGAAACCATGCAACTTGATGGGCACTGTTTAAGATCATCTGGGATATTAAAGTTTCAAGGATTTAAGGCGTCGGGGGTGAACCGGGCCTCCACGTTTCCTAATCTGCCGTCGAAGCCCAAACCTTGAAGGAACAACACAGATATTCGGTACCCGGGACTATATTTGCCTACAGTTTAGTAGGAACTACCACTTCATTAGTTGGTAGAACCCATAGCGCTGTAGGCAAGTAGGGTCCCAGGTAAACTCTATAAACCTGCCAAGGTTCAGGGGTAACCCTAAACCCTAAACCCTAAACCCTAAAGTAGGCTTACGAAGGGCAACCGACTCGCGTACCTCTGAGGCACCAGCGAGCCCGTCTCCCTGGGAAGCCTTGTAAGCCCTAAGCCCCTAATTAGGGTTTATAGGGTTTAGAGTTTAGGGTTTAGGGCTTGGGGTTTAGAAGTAAAACCCTAGTCCCAGACCAGCTCGAATCCACAAGCGATCCTTGAAGACCCCGGAATCCGAGCTCAATCCCATGGCGTTTCTCAGCCCTAACCCTCTGCGGCCTGTGCGGCCCTAAAGCCCCTAAGCCCTAAACTCTGAACCCGAATCCCTGGCGCTCCGTGGGCATTGGCTGCGGTCGGGAGAGGAGCTCGACCTGGGCCGAATTGGGACCAAAAGGTTTTGGCATTGGGGTTTAAGGATTAGGGTGTAGGGTTTAGTGTATTGGGCTAGGGTTTAGGGTTTACGTTTTTGGGAGGAGCACGCTGCGGGAACCCATTCTTGGACAGTATGAAAGTATAGTACTCCATTAAGCTTAGAAGCCGAATTTCAGAGTGATGTTGTGTAACAACACTGAAGAAACTTCCACCAACACGTCCGCTTCTTTTGAATCCGGCGAAATCTGGCAAAGCTGGCAAGGCAGCCGATCCCAAAGACCTTGCAAAGCGAAAACTAAACCCTCCAAAGCCCAAAAAACAAAAAAAACAATTCCGAAAAAGCCTAAACTGAACCCTAACCTCTACAGACTGTAGACCTTGTCACATCTTACTTGCAAGCTTCTTGGTAAGATGATGCAACTTCAACTCCAGCCAACTTTGTGGCACGTTCCTTGGACGCATCAAATTTTAAGAGCTTCTGGTCTTGTGTCTCCAGAATCGAGAGCAGCATAAGATGCTGATGTTGAAGCGTTCTAGACAAAATAAGAAAGCCTTCCACTCAAACAATCCAATGTCAAGGATGAGGTCATGAAAATGGCCAGTTTCTAGACCAGGTATTGCGAAGAGATGACTCGTTGTACTCCTTCTACAAGTCCTGCTTATACCCCAAAACCCTAAATCTTAAAACCACCCTAAACCCTAAACCCTAAACCCTAAACCCTAAACCCGTATGCTGTTAAGACCACCGGTTGCTCCTTGAAGTGTGCTTAGTTGTGTTCAGATGCGTGAACGGTTGTGTTTTCTACTGAGGTGTCTTGATTTGGGGGGCTTAGGGTTTAGGGTTTAGGGTTTAGGTTTTGGGGTTTAGGGTTTAGGGTTTAAGGTTTGGGGTGAAAATACGGGACCCAAAAACTGACGCCCAAATGGTAGGACCCTTCGAATAAGGATCCCAGAAAGGTGCGTACCCCCAATATCGGAATCCCCCACGTGAGCTGTGCGCCAACCCTAAACCCTAAACCCTAAACCCTAAACCCTAAACGCATCAGCTGGGCCCCGCGGCGGAACTGGGCGGAATGGCGGCCACAAGCTCGGCCACGAAGTGATCGCCGGCCTGGCTCGGGTTTAGGGTTTAGGGTTTAGGGTTTCGGGTTTAGGGTTTAGGGTTTACGGGTTTACGGGTTTACGGGTTTACGGGTTTAGGGTTTAGGGTTTGGGGTTTAGGGTTGCTAGGGTTGAGGGCTTAGGGTCTAAAACTTTTGGTCGAGGGCGCATCATCCAAAAACTACGGGTTCGGAAGAACCTAGGATCGCGCTGCAAACACCTGATAGCAAGCAACCCCCCCCCCCCCCCCCCCCCCCCCCCAAAGTTCCCCCAAAGAACCCCACCCTAAACCCTAAACCTGAAACTTACAAGATTTTGAAAACTGAGAAGCTGCGACTTTAAGGCGGGGTCCCCGAGTCCTAAACCCAAGGCAAAAGGGCACTACTACTGGGAATCCCAGCTAAGCCCCTACACCTAGATATCCGGTTCAGGCTTAGACTTTAGGGTTAGGGCTTAGGGTTTAGGGTTTAGGGTTTAGTGTTAAGGGTTTAGGGTTTAGGGGTTTAGGGTTTAGGGTTTAGGGTCTAGGGTCTCGGGTTTCGGGTTTCTAGGGTCTAGGGTTTAGGGACTGGGGTTTAGGGAGGGGTTTGGGATTTTGAGTTTTTTCTAGGACGATTCCTGTCTACCTCCACGCGTACAGTCAGTAACACACGTTGGGGGCCAAACATAGCGGCCAGGGCCAGTGCATTCCTTGAAAGAGTACCCATGAGGGGCTTAGAGTTTCTGATTTATGTGGTTTTGGAGTTTCAGAGCTTTGAATTGGTTTGCGTGCGAGCTTCTCCTTTTGTGGCAGCGGGCCCCTATATGCATCCCTCAACCCTAGACCTCTCAACCGAATGGCTTACTTGCAGGTTCATGCGTGCTTAAAGTAGGGTTCCAAGTACCCTAAGCAAGGTTAGCTACCATGCGCGTAAGAACCCCAAAAGAATGAACAAATCATAATCCCTATATTCCCCTTAATAAGGAAGAATATTCTTATTTTTGTTGGGGGGGGGGGGGTTCTTAAGCAATGGGTAGTAGTTGCCCGACTTATAATCACCCTCAACCCTGAACCCTAAACCCTAAACCCTAAACCCTCAACCCTAAACCCTAAACCCTAAACCCTCAACCCTCAACCCTCAACCCTAATCCCTTAAGGCTGGAGACGTGCGGCCTCTTCGGCTGCCTTGCGAAGTGCCTGGAGCTCGGCGCCCGCGCCCCGGGCGCTGAGCAGGGCGTCCTGCTTTGGGAGGTTTAGGGTTTAGGGTTTAGGGTTTAGGGTTTAGGGTTTAGGGTTTAGGGTTTAGGATATAGGGTTTAGGGGAAGTCGGTTTCGGGCTTGTAGTTTAGGGCGTCGGGGCTCGGGGTGTGATAGCTTAGGCTTTGAGGTACAGGCTTTGGGCCGAAAAGGTCTAGGCTTGGCTGCACTCAGAAGGGTAGCTATAAATTACGTTTTTAGCTGCCTTATTAAGAAACCCAATAAACCCAACAAGGCTAAGGATCTAAAGGTACAGTAAAGCACCACAAAGTCTAGGGAAGTTCTTCGGGTGACTACATGCCACTGAAAAGGATTTTGGTCCATCGATTTCGGGGCATTTGATCCCAGGGTTTGCCTTTCGAAAGTCTTCTAGCAAACGGAGTTTTCAGGACTCAAACCTCACGTGGTTGAACCCTTGGCCCTAAACCCTAGGAACTCTCTGAACTGTATGAACCCAACACCCTAAGAACTCGCCTCTGGGGACTTTAGAAGCCCCCTGCATTCATGAGCAGCTCAACCCGTCAATCCAGTGAGGTAAGCCCTTGTGATTGGGTTTAGGGATCAGGGTTCAGGGTTTAGGATTTAGGGTTTAGGGTTTGCTTACTTTAGCAGGGTTTTAGCGTCTCGGGCCTGCTTTCTAGAGTTGCGGGGTGTAGGGGGATGAACCCTTTGACTCCTCAACCCAATGACCCTATGACCGGCCTCCAACCGCAGCAAGGTGGACGACAGACCTTGGCAGGCAAAGGGTCGAGCGGTTTAGGGTTATAGGGTTATAGGGTCATAGGGTTTAGGGTTTAGGGTTTAGTAGGGTCTAGGGTCTAGGGTGGTGGTGGTGGTGCTCTGCAGGTGGTGCTGGTGCTGCTGCTGCTGCTGCTGCTGCTGCTGCTGCTGCTGCTGCTGCTGCTGCTGCTGCTGCTGCTGCTGCTGCTGCTGCTGCTGCTGCTGCTGCTGCTGCTGCTGCTGCTGCTGCTGCTGCTGGTGCTGGTGCTGGTGCTAGGGTTGATAGGTTCAGAGTGTACGCTTTCACTTAGGGTTTAGGGTTTAGGGTTTAGGGCTTAGGGTTTAGGGTTTAGGGTTTAGGGCTTAGGGTTTAGGGTTTAGGGTTTAGGGTGTCTGGGATGCTGTCACAGCCACTACAATCAACGCGCGCCAACACCACGGCATGCCCGAAAGAAGGCCTCAGAACCCTACACCCGAACAAAAAGACTCAGTCACGCAAACTAACAGGCCTAAAGCCCTAAGATAAACCCTAAACCCTAAACCCTAAACCCCAAACCCTAAACTCCTAAAACCCCTAGCCCCTGAAGCCCTGCAAGCAAAACTGTGAGGCGGCTGCTGTTGTAGGCTTGGGCTCGTTTCACCACCTCGTCGTCCTCCCAGGGTCTAGGGTTTCGGAGAGGTTTAGGGTTTAGGGTTTAGGGTTTAGGGTTTAGGGTTTAGGGTTTAGGGTTTAGGGTTTAGGGTTTAGGGTTTGGGGTTTGGGGTTTAGGGTGTAGGGTTTAAACCCTAAAGCTTCGGATGGTTTCGGGTTTAGGCGCAACGTTCAATTCGCAACACCCCAGTCCATGAACCGGAAACCCTAAACCCTAAACCCTAAACCTTAAACCTTACACCCTAAACCCCAAGGAAAAAGGGGTGCCAAGCCTTCTTCAGCGTCGTCTCCAGCTTCGCCAGTCCTCTATGGAGTTTCCTGAGTACCGGGCCGCAGAAAGGGTGTTTAGGGTTTAGGGTTTCGGGCTTAGGGTTTAGGCTTTAGGGTTCAGGATTTAGGGTTTAGGGTTTCGGGTTTAGGGTTTAGGCTTTAGGGTTTGGGGTTTAGGGTGTACGGGAAACCCCTAAACCCAAACCCTCAAATGCTTCGCAATGGTCTGGGCTAGAGATAAACTTGGTGCCCCAGCAACAATAGTGCAATAGCGATGCCCTTTTTGGGGTTGGACAATTCACAAGGGAACCTTGACAGGGTACTACTGGGACACCATGTAGAGCTTCGGGGTTTATCGAGCTTTGGGGCTTTGACCGGGAGACCTGACCTCGAAACAAAGGGTAATAAGGGTTCAAACTGGACACCCTCGGACAAGCCGCCGTCAAGCCCATCAACTAAAGCAGCAAGAGGGCTGTTTTCAAAAGTGGCCTTTGGCTTTGGGGGGGGGGGGGGGGGGGGGGGGGGTGGTGGTCGTTTCTCTGGGGGCACCAAGAATGATCCTTTTCTAGAGAACCCCCCCAGAGAAGGTCCGACATCCCTTGGCTGGGATCATGGCATGACGTCCTCAAGGCGGTTCGCCTGCTCCTGTGCATCAGTTGCATCCCAGAGAAGTCTTCTTAGGCCTAGGGCTTTATGGGTTGAGGGTTTAGGGTCTTCATGCCATCAGGGCTTTAGGTTGAGGGTTTATAGGGTTTAAAACTGAGGACGACAGCAACTGCAGATTCGGGCGGGCGGGTGATGGATCTTGGTATCCGCCGGCTCGTTCAGGGTTTAGCAAACCCTAATCAAAGGAGTCATACTCGGACTCCTAAGGATGTACCCCTAAGAGGTTCCCTTAATATATTCCTAAGACGGCCCACTTATATTCCGTTAGAGGATCTTGAAAAGGGTCCCCAAGGGTACAACCTTAGGGGTCCAAGGTAACAGTCCATGACCTAGCCCTAAAGATCCGAGTCGAGGCGTAGTTAGGTCTTAGGAGTTGGGTTTTGGTGGATCAGGTTTCCTATGCTGCCTCAAGAGCACACGGCCTGCACCCTGAAAGGTAGACCCACACCAAGGGTCTTACCCCAAAGGGTATATGTTTTCAGGGTTTGGGGTTTAGGGCTGAGGGAAATGTGAAGGCAGTTTGACTTCTGTTCGTAGATAACTTTAGCCAGGTCCCCCAATACCCTCAACACCCTAAACCAACCCAAAGGGAGGCTGAGCCCTGAACAAGGAAAAATTTGATGCTACTGGGAATACATAAGAGGGCTTGCAGTTTAAGTTCAAGGTCTTAGGGCTTAAGGGCCTAAGGGCTAAATAAGGGTCTAACCCGAAACCCTAAACCCTAAACCCTAAACTAAACTGTGTGTCCGGGCCGTCGTGCAGGGCGAAAGCGCGACGCCGGCAGGCGAGGGAGCTCCGGAGCCAGAAGCCCTTAACGGCTAGCGGCGGAGCTCTGAGTCCCGCAGGCAGCTACGGGCTGCGCGGGCAAACCGGCAGGTCACGGGCGAAAACCTGACAGATCGCCCTTATAGAAGAAGACCAGAACCTTCGGGCAAAGCGGTGCATCCCTCGAGTCTCATGCAGGGGCCTCCCAGTCGGCGGCCAGAGGGCAGTTCAAGCAAGAGCCCTCCCAGCATTCAGCATTCCTCAATATCTTGCCTCCCAGGGAGGGGCCCACCCAACACCCAGCCCCCAGACACCGAAGCCTGCCGGACAGCCAGACCAAAAAATCAGACACCGACGCCTCGCACTCCTGCCAGCCTCTGATTTCTTCACTTTCAGGGACCTCCCAAAGCTCGTATAGAAATCGAGGTCTTACGGGGGGGTTCACGAGGATCAACAAGAATGATATACATGAGCACGATCAGAAAGCAAGGAGACCCTAAACCCGCAAAGTCAGGGCGACGGGCGGGGCTTCCCAAGTCGGGGTGCGCGCCAGGGTGCTTTTAGCACCAGCGCGCCCCCAACAATTGAGACACTCAACAACCCTAAACCCTAAACCTTAAACCCTAAACCCTAAACCCTGGGGTCAGGGTTGGGGATTCAATTTCCGGCGTGGCCTCCAACTTGGCCTCCTCTGCCATGTCAAGCAGCTGAAGCCGCTCGTTCTGTCCAGGCGCAGCTTATGGCTCCACGTGTTTTCGGCTGGGGTTTAGGGTTTAGGGTTTAGGGTTCAGGGTTCAGGGTTCAGGGTTTAGGGTTTAGGGTTTGAATGGCTGAGGCCTTAGGGCGTATGGATTTTGGGTTCAAGGTCTTGGGGGCTTTCAGGGATTCTATGTGCCAAGGGCACGCCTTTTCGGCTGGAAGTCTTCCTCCCTGAGGTTTGTATTGTGAAAGGTGGTTTAGGGTTTAGGGTTTAGGGTGTAGGGTTTAGGTGGTTTAGGGTTTAGGGTTTTGGGTTTAGGGTTTAGGGTTTAGGGTTTAGGCTTTAGGGTTTAGGGTTTTATTGTTACCAGCGGAAAGCCCTAAACTCAACAAGTACAGTGCAACGCACTTTTTGTCTTGAGCCAACGAAGTAGCGTAAGTACGGTAATACAGCTGATATCTTGAAGTATCGACACCCCCCGCGCATCTTAGAGCAACGGAGAGGCGACACATCAGCTGTTTGCGACGCTACTTTGATTCAAACAAATGATTTTGGCACCATCGACCAACAACTCGCTGCCAAACGACCCGGCAGGGTGTTGGTGCTTGCCCCACAGAGCTTAGCTCCGCGGCCCTGAAAGAAATGCTGACTAAAGTGGAAAAGGTAGCCAGCCCGTCAGAGCGGCGAAAACCAAGCCGTCAGGCCGGTGCGATGCAAAAGGAAGGAAACTAGTAATCGCGCTTCCAAGCATCGGTGGCGTAGTCCCATCGCCAGTTGTGCCAGCCACGAAGGTAGGACTTCACGTGGTCGGGGCCCATGATCTGGAACGTGTCCACGGTGCCATGAACGGGGATCGCGTAGAGATCATTATCCACCGACATGCCCGGGATGTCCAGGGCTCTCATGACCGCCCACATATATCCAACCCATGTGGGCCAATTGACGTCCCGGTCTCGGGCGTGATCAATGTCGGTTCCACCGATCACTTGGCCCCACGAGACGACTCGGCCAAGAGTCTCGTAGATGATCTGCATGCCACGATTCATGGCGACCTGCTCTCTCGTCGGAGGAGTGGCAGGCTCGACCACCATCGGTCGTGGAGCAGCCTCAGTGTCGATCGGCGCAGGGGCCGTCGCTTTCGCGGGGCGGGACAAGCCCGGTGGGGCCGCCGCTTCCGCGTGGCGAGACTGTCCAGGGGACACAACCCTTTGCCTTGCGGCAGGGCGTTCCTCGGCGAATGGCCGATCGTTTGCCATCGCGTCCCAGTCCGCGTCCGAGATGTAGGAACTCGGGAGCTGAGGAGGTCGCGGCTTGGACTTGACAGCAGTGCTTGGCGGTCTGGCAGCAGGTGACGATGACCTTGTCAATGGTGCCGGCGGAGGTGGCCTCTTCGATGTCAACTGCATCACGGGGGGCGCCTTGACCTGCAGTGGAGCCTTCGGAGGAGGAGGCGTTGCGTCAGCCGGGGGCGACTTCCACGGTGACTGCCTGTCCCTCGATCTGCTCTCTGCGGGGCGACCCTCCCGGGTGCCGGGAGTGTTGGACCTTCCTCTGGAGGATTGCGGCTGTTGCACCCATGGTGGCGTGCGATCACTGGGCGCCGACGATGCTCTGTCCCTCCTCAGTCGATCAACCCGATCTTGGATCGTGGACCTGATGTTTCGCGTCCTGAAACGGGTGAATTGGAGGAGCTGTGCCAGCTGACGATCTCCCAGAGAACTGAACCCTTCCGGGACGTGGATATCCTGCGTCATCTGCAGCGGTGGGGCCACTTCGCCCCTTTTGGCTGAGTGAGGGAGGTCACGCCGGATGAGATTGATGAGCTCTCCGAGGATGCCGGCCATAGTCCTACCGTTTGGATACCATCGTTCACCTGGGGTGTTGGTCATCAGGTAGAAGCAGTCGGTTGTCGTCCTGTGCACGGCAAACATGATGACGGCCATCTCGAGCACGGTGTAAAACCGGTCCTGGAAAGAGATGAAACAATCCGTCAGGATGTTGACGTAATCATCGTCGCTGCACCAAATGTAGGCGAGCCGCCCATCGACGTTGTGGTAGGCGTCGGTGCCTTCGGCATACTTGCCTCCTGCCATCCCAGGGTTTGGGAGCCGAATGTCGGCAAACCTCGTGATCTGGTTGAGGCTCGTGAAGCTGAACCCCTGGGAGATCCAGTTGAAGGCATCCATGGGCGACTCCGCCAGGATCGCGCCGAGGGTGATATCACCTCCTGACGGCTGAGCGACTTGTTGATCTTCGCCTTTAAGGTCGCTCCTGAGCTGGACTTGCGACGGTCCACTGTCGTGTCATCGACGCGGCGGGGATTTCGATGATCTCGGTTGGAGTTCAGGCCAATGGAAGGCTGAATCTCAAAGATGTTCATCGGCCTACCCCTCCGGGTGGCGTCATCGCGGGCCTCAAAGGGCTGCGCCATTTTCGCCAGGTCCGTGGGCAAGGTCAACCGCTCTTCACATTTGAGACACTTTGTGAGCCCGTCGATCAGGTCGTTGCAATCGCAGAAAGGACAGTTGAAGTTGGGGAACGCAACGCACTGTTGGTGCCTGAAGAACCTTGGGTCTCCTCGAAGCTTTCGATCCACCGTAAGTGCAGTCTGCGTGGGCAGCACAAGTGCCCGCATGCCCCAACAGGCGTTGTGAAGCGCAGGGTAAAGAGGATGCCCTTCCGGGATCCGAACCGGCTGACCACCATAGTCCCAATTTGGTTCGTAGTGGAGCTGGAACGGGGTGTAGGCATCGGCTGCGAGAGGGGCCCACTCAGTGAAGTTTTCCTCTGGTGGAATCTTCAGGTAGTCCAAGAAGCTGGTGGCCGCGCCGTCTGTCATGCAACGATAGGGATCATTGTCAAAGACGGGCAACACATTCCTGTGTGCGGCGAACTCCTTCACAGCCTTGTCGATGCGAAGACGAGCATGCTCGTACGCCCTGTTGATCCAGATCGGCTCATTCGAGGATCTCCGATAGGCGTAGACGAGGTAGCGGTTGGACAGCCAATCTGGGGTTTGCACCGCGCCAGCAGCTGTCTCAAAGATCCGAACCCCGTCCAGCGCCGCCATTTGGAGGTCGACCACGAACTCGATCTCGGCGTCAGGCCTCACGCCCTCCATGCAGTCACGTTCCCATGCTGGCTTCGGTGACATCACGGCGTAAAATCTGCGACGACTCCCGTCTCGCGACATTCCTCCTGGGATGATACCGCTCTCGACGATGCTCCTGAAGTGACGAAAGTAGGTGGAGTGGTACCCCATCTTTGGCATCGTATGGAAAGTGCTGTGCGTGAAGCCAGCCTCTCCAACAGGAGGGTATTCGCGTAGACTGGGTCTCCACCCGTCGACCAGGTGGAAGGATCTGCGATTCACAAGCATGGGGTCAGAGTTCTCGGTCATGAGCGCCCCGCTGTGGCCTTGAATTGCACGGCATCGCAAAATCCTCCCTCCCGGGTGGATGAGAAACTCGAAGCGTTCCTTCTCAGACGACTCGCACACCTGGAAGATCTGCTCCATACGGAGCCCATTCCAAATCTGCCCCAACGCCTCGAAGAATGCCGGGAAAGATGTTGTTCCATTTCCATCGAACTCAAGATGGGGTGCGTGGGCGCACTTCTTGGAGAAGCCGCGGAGCAGCCATGTCATCTTCCGGCTCAACGTCTCAAGGGCATTGGGAGAGAGGTAGCGCCTGATCTGAATGACCGGCATCTCGCTACCGACGCACCAGTATGCTGCTGACTCATCGATGGTAGGACCATCCCTTCCGGGAGGTGCACGCGCAGGCATTGCCTTGGGCGGCGCAGCTCGGGAAGGAGCAGGCAAGACCTTGTTCCCCAGGTCGGTGACGTCTTCGCTGAGATCGATGAGGGTCTTATCCTGACGAACCCTCTCTCTGGTCTGATGCAAGATCTCTTCCACGGAGGAATCCGGCTCGTTGATGGGGAGGAGCGGTTCACACGCAATGTCCGGATCGTCAGGATCATTGATGACAATGGTGTCGATGCCGCGCTCCTTCTCAATCTCGACGGCTTGCTCGTCATCGAGCTGGCCTTCAACCGAGTCGAGCGCCTCCATCAACCTCCTCACACGGGGGTTGTTCGCGTCGAAGAGGATCACCTCGTCGTCATCGCCGCCAGACCCGTCAGGGTTGAGGTAAGCCCGGTCGTCCTCGGTGATAGGGACAGCACCCATGTCTGGGTGGTCTTCGTCCGAGGGGTTTGTAGCCTTCCGGACAACATTCTGGGCGACAATGATCTCCTCGCTTTGATCTCTCGACGTAGGCGCCCGCCACGCGAAGTCCTCAATCCTTGGCCTCACCATGTCGGTGCACGGTGGGACCGTAAGGGACATTTCCGGCTGCGCCAAGTGGAAGTGATTGTTGAAGATCTGGCTTCGCTGATTTGCAAGGAAGTCCTCCCGCATCATGAAGATCTGCCGACCCGTCAGGGTGGTGGAGACAAGCGCTCGCCACCAATCCGTGGCAGCTTGAAAGTTGTCTTGCGTGGCAACCATGTGATATTTGTCGTAACGAACCGTGCCATAAAGAAGCGCGTAAGGGTCGACGACCCTCACGCCGTTTGCGACTAGGTAGTCGGTGTGCTTCTTCATCTCCCTGTCGTACTCCCAATCCAGCCCGTAGGCCTGGGCGACAGTGCCAGCGACAACGGTCAACGACCTGACACACTCATGTCCAGCCAACGCAACAACCTTCCGGAGTGCGGTTTCCACCTTGGCCAACTGTTTGACGGGCCAGTGCTCCGCTCTGCGGATTTGCTCTTCGGTCTGTTTGATCCAGGGCGACACAAGGTGCCACGTGTAGCCCTGGTACCCATACGGGCCATGGACGTCGTTCCCCGCCCAACTGATGAAAATATCCAACCCGTCAGGGTGGTGGATCCTCAAGAAATCCTCCACGATCTGGGTGAGGAGAGTGAGGTCCTTGCCCCATTCCATCATGACGTTGACTTCCGTCACGCGAGGGTCATGCGACAGAACATCCCGAAGGGGACCCTGGAATGTCATCTTGTTGATCGCACGACCGCCCTTGTGCGTGCACAAGGCGAGAGAGGAGTCGCCGATGATGAGAACTTGGGATTTCATCGTTGGCGGTGGCGGAATGCGTTCAAAAGCCGGGGTATAGAAACCCCCTAGGAGCTGTACCACATCCGTGTGGAGGGGTCGGTCAGAAAGGCCGTGCTCCATCTCGGTGACGCGGTAGCACAAGTCGTATGGCTTTGAGACGTCAAACGCACTCTGAGCCCTTGGCCCCCATCCCACGACAGCCATGTCGAAGATGAGGTCGAGCATAGTTTGCGTCCATCCCGCCAGGGAGGAGTCATGTACCGTTTTGGACGGCACGTCGTCAGTGCTGTAGGCCCTGACGCCGTAGATCCGGTACCACATCTCATAGATTGTGGTCCACGGCACACTTGGATACCCCTTCCGGAGATCGAGCCACTGTTGCACAGGGATGACACGAAGAAACAAGTCATCGGGACTGTCAGCCTCCGTGGGCTCCCGGAAATTGCGCACTGCGTCATTCCACCACGCTGGTGATGAAAGTCCAGCCAAGGCGTCAGCCAGGCGATCCGCATCAGTAGCGGCGGCCGACATTTCTTGGAGGCGAGCAGCACGTTCCTCTGCGCTGAGAATCTCAACTGCACGAGATGCCATTCCTTCAGAAAGACAAGGAGGAGATTCGAGGCGAGGATTGCTGGGGAGCTTGATTGCTGGAGCGGCTACGTATGTGCAAGGGGTCCTGCTCATGTTTTCCTGAAACGCCTTGTGAATTAGATCAACCATGCGCAAGCAGTACTCTTCAGAGCTGCGATTACACTTGCCATGCACGTGCCCTCCAGTGCAACACTTGTCACGGAATGCAACATACAAGGAATCCAAGGTAGTAGCAATAGTCCATGGTTTCTTGACGGATTCACCCTTTTCGTTGCGAAGACCGAAACGACAACCGTCGAAGTGGGCCTTCCGAATGGGTTTCCCCTCGATCCATTTGACAATCCGAGTCCATTTCCAATACTCGCAGTCCTGTGGCCATTCAATGGCATAGTCGACTAGTAGTCGATCGAGGCCATGGGACAGGTCGACAAATGATGCCCAAAGCTTGGTGAATTTCCTCCGGGCCTCGAAGACGGCGCTTCGGTTCTTGTCGACGGCAAGATTAAGGCGAGCCCATTGCGAACCCCCCGTACAAGGAAGACTAGCCCAAACGAGGATACGAAGACCGTCCTTGTGGGCCTCCTTTGCGATGGACAAAACTTCCCGTCGGGTTTTGGGATCGTTCAGGTTCATAGACTCAGTAATGCGAACGACCTTGCAGTCCTTATATTTGTTAATAGCAAGATTACCAATTAGTGAGTCGTCACCGCAACACACTTCAATGATCAACCGCTTGTGCAAAGGAGGAGACCTCTGCGTCAGCAGGGTGGATCCAGGAGTGGTGGCGGCCGCGCCAGATTTCCTCACATCAAGCTTGAGGGGAGATATGGCCATAAGTGCAAGAGCACGGGACCACTTCTCAGCATTGGTGAATGGCTTAGTGAGGATATCGGCTGCTTGCAACAATGTACTGATGTACGCAATGTCATAGTGCTTTCTTCTAAACTGTTCAGAAATCCATCCCAAGTTAATCCTCTGCGTTTTATCAGCATGACGAAAGGCTGGCGACTTACCTGACTCAAGGATTCTGATGGTGGCTTGGTTGTCCTCAAGCACGACAGGCTGAATGGAATGTGGAACCGTAACCACAAGTCCCATGTCCTTATCTGAACCCTTGGGTGCAAGCTCTTCCGAGGACCGACCCCCCGTATTCCTGATGCCTTCAATCTCGCGGTGCATGAAAGCCTCCGCGTCAGCGTGGCGTCTGTAGTCCATTGTGGACCTGCGATAGACGATTACACACGCTTCGGCTTTAGGATCAACGGGTCTATCCCTTCTCTTAAGTTCTTCCCAGGCAACAGCTTCCTCAACTTGAACCCAAGTACCCTTTAACTTAACCCAAACGTCGCGCAGTGGATGAGTGTTCATCTCAACTGGTTCAGGCAGGGATGAAAGGTTGGTGAGCAGTTCGACCACTCTACCATCAATGAGGTGCGAAGTGCCCAGGTAAGTAACTCCTTGGATAAGGGAATCCGGGTGGTTAGAGAGGAGTTTATTGGGAACATCACCCTTCCGGGGAGTGTGCTTAGGTTTTGTGCTGCTATCCCCCCCCGCATTCTGAAGCACGCTCCAAAGCGCGGAAGAAGGAAGACCTAATGCACGCAGCGAAACATTTGCACACACGACCTCGGCCTCAGTGGAACTAAGGGCAATGCTGGTCTGCTTCTTACTGAAAGCTGCAAGGGGGAAGTACGTATTAGGACCAACCAAAGCAAGGAAGCCTCCTGAGGTGCTTTTGCTATCATGCTCACCTGCGTGGTCACTGTCAGCAAACAGCCACAGCTTGCAAGTGCTAACGTCGTCGCCCATGAAACCGCGCATGCGGTACTCCAATGTAGACGCGACATAGCACATCAAGCGGTGCAAGGCTTTATCGCACTCAACAGACCACTTGGTGACTCGGCTGGCTAATCCCTGAACTGCGCGCAGCAGATCGTACCTTGCCATCCTTGCTGCGAACAACAGCTTCATGAGAATGCGGCTTGCTATGGGAGCAAGCTGTCCGCGAGGTTCGGCCTCGGTGCCAACCGGGCGAGCGATCTTGTCGTCATGGAAGGGCGTAGCAACCTTTCGCAGGTGTTGGAATTGTGGGCCTGCGAGCTTCTTGTACTTATCAATGGCTTGCTGCAAAAAGGAACTCATGTCGTACACGACTTCCTTAACACCCTTAGTCATGCAACCCTTGTTGTCGCTCAGTTGGTTGACATCGAAGAATGCTTTCTTCCTCGCTTCTTTCTTGGCTTCATTCTTGTCCCTGATCTTCTTAACTGCAGCAAGAGCTGACGCGTGATCGTGCTTATCCGAAAGAAGATAGGTAGCACCAACCCATAATTTAGACCTCTTACCCCGACCGGAAGGATGATCCCATGATTGCTCGATAAGCTCATCATCATCAATGGACCTCACTTCCGTGAGTCGGTGTTGACCAACGGCACAAAGCTTGGCTTCAGAGGCCGGCAAGGCATAGAGTGCACGCCTGGGCTGAACATGGTGACGCACCAATAGAGTGCCAGCGTCAGCCGCACGACAGGATCTTTGTACTTTCCCTTCCACGCTGGAGGCCATCGATCAGGCGGCAGCCTGACCCAGGTTTCCTTTCCCTTGAGCGTGGTTTGGGTGTATGCTTGTTTGCCGTCGGCCTGCTGACAGTCGTTGCCCGGTGCATGCCCATAGGCGTCAAGTGCTTTCCCAGCCTCCATCGTGGCGGGACTGGATCCGAGCTCACTGAAAAGAGCCTGATCACTATTCTCATCTTTGACGTTGTTCCCTTGGAACACAGTTCGACCCTTGAATTTTCGTTGTGGGTCGCCTTTGGGAAGCTCACTTCCCTTTTCCACGCAGATCTCAAAAACTTTTCCAACATGAACCTTTTTCCCCTTTTTAATGGCTTCATCACTGACGTCTTTCCATTCTCGAACAGATCCCATATCCCAGGCTTTCTTAACCATTAATTTGTTCCATTCAACATCAAGGGCAGCCTGTGCCTTCGGGTCCTCGAGGATTTCTCTGCGACCAACAGGCCTTGCGACAAGAGCAAACAGCTCTCGTACCTCGTCCTCTGAGACAGGAAGGTTGCTGGAAATCTTTTCACGATGCTCGGGCTCATGAGGTACAGTAGGCATGGCAGGGAATGCATCCTTACCATCTCCGTCAGGAGCGGGACTGTGGATTCTGTCCAGAATGAACTCAGTCTTGCCGATCCACTTGAAACTGGTCTTTTTGTTCCGCTTCCTAACGTTCTTCCAATCATCGTCCTCATGGATGACATCAACACCACCTACGGGAATGATAGTTGTACTCCGTTGCTTAGAGATGCGCGATAGTTCAATCGGACAATCTGTGATATCCGGTGAGAACATTTCTCTTCTGGGAACATAATGATAGCGTATTAGCTTACATTCGTTCAGTCGGACCTCCCAGTGGTCCTTGCTCGCAGCAGGTGCTGCGGCGGCGGCAGAGGAGCTACCGGCTGAACCCTCGGTAGGAGTCTCCATATCACGCAATGCTTGTTCGCGTGCCTCATCAACAATGGCCTTCTCCTTCTGTTTCTTGGACATGTTGACCCAAAGGTATGAGGGAATGGATTCGGGCTTCTTAGAACCTCTGGTGCCTCCATACTTTCTACCAAGAGTACCCCCCGAATCATAGTACCGACCCCCTTCAGGAAGATCAATTTCTTTTCCTGTCTTAGGATCAAGTACCTTCTTGGGCGGCTCGACCTCTCGGTCTGCGGGTGCAGGCAGTTGCTCATCTGCAGCTTCAGCGTCCTGATTGGTGAGCGATTGACTGACAGGTCCTTCAGTGGCATCTGATGCGAGACCTGCTTGAACCCTTTCATACCTCTCACGCATGGGAAAAACAATCTTACCATCAGTGAGCTTGTACTGCGATGCAATGGCTTCAGGCACTCGTGGAAATCATGCTTGTTCAGCTGCTTGAGATGAATTGCAAAGACCTCCTTGCGCCATTTCATACCAGGCTGGAACTTGTATCCCATAAAAATCGCAGGCTCACTGGTAGGCTCGAATCTGTCTCTACCCTTGCGCTGGGCTTTCGGACCAACCCAAACGTCAATCCTACAACCGAAAGGAAGGGGTTCTTCAGGAAATGCAACACCAAAACGCTTGAACCAAGGGGTAAACTCTTTGCCCCCCGGATTGCTGATGTTGTAGGCAGTGCATGCATGCTCAAGGGCAAACGGCCAGTAAACATGCGAAATGCCAGCTTGAATGAGATTGGTGCGAGTGCCCTCAGTGGTGGCTCGCACAGCACGCTCAGCAACAGCGTTGGACTGATGGATATAAGCCTTAGAGAGCTCATGGCGCCAGCCGAGCGTTTTGGCCGCAGCCTCAAGTTCCCTAGACTTATCGCTGTAGAAAGTCTCCACATTGTCCTTCGCGGATGCGAAGTGCTGGAGCGCCACGAGGCATTCGTCTTCCGACTTCAATGCAGCAGGGTATGCATACATGAAACAAGTGGCAACATCCTTGACCACAAGTGCAAGACGCGAATCCTCAATGACAGTTTGCTTGTCCCTGTGCAAGATCAGATGATCTGCGGTCACATGGTCGCCAAAGACCTCTGCTTCGATAGTACTGGTTTCCTTCTTGTAAGAAGGAGGCTTGTACATCTTAGCTCGTTGGCATATTTGGCAATAAGGGTTCTTGGGGACATGAGTCATGAGGTGTTCACGGGTTGTTGATTCTTTGATCAGAGCTTCTTTGCTCCGTCTACGAGCTCTACGTTCAGGTGCTTCAGGATCGTCACTTGATGCTGCTTCCCCATCGGGGGCATCGGCCGCTGCCGGGGCAGGAGGACCAATGTCCGGTTCAGCACGCACCTCGTCAGAGGGCGGAGCAGGGCGAGAACCATCTAGAATGGCTCGCACCCGTGCCGCACCTTCGGACCTGAGGAGACCGGGGTCTCGAACACCATCCCTCGGCTCGGATTTTGCTTTTGGTTCAGGCTTAGGCTTAGCTTTAAGTTTTACTGTAGGCTTGGTGCGATCCGGCAAAGGCCGGACAGGCGTGTCTTCCTCCATCAGTTCCCTGAGAGTCCTTTCGTCAGGATCATCGGCGGATGCCGGCGCAATAGGAACCCTCTTGTGAGGAATAACAAACCCACAACCTCGAAGCTTCGCAACGTCCTGGTTATCAAGTTGGTAAACTGACCTACAGGTGTAGGCAGTAATGCTCCAGCGTTCACCCTTCCAAGGTCTTACGGAATGAGATGTCTTCGGGTCAAAAACAACAATCTTGTTGTGACTGTCATGGACCATCCCAGGGAGTTTGGTGCCTACAGAATCCTTGACCTCTAGATAATTTTTATCGGTTTTCATAGCGCTCGGGTCATGAATCCAAAGGCCACCATCGGAAAACTCTCCCACGGCAATCGTAACGTTGAGATGGTCTTTATGATTGTTCACATCCTTATGGACCTTGATGGGCGAGTTCTGGTTGATGCAGAGTGAGGAACAGCTCTCCAACTCCGCGCCTCTCTTGCGAAGAAATGCGATGAGATACTTGATAGTGTTAACATGGCGTCCAGTTCTCTTGGTTACACCATGAAACCCTCCATGTGCAAAAGCACCAAGTATCACGTACTTCTCTTTGCTACTGCCGTGCTTCTCTCCTAGTGCTTTTCTTCTACTCCTACCTGCTCCGAAGTTGACGGTGCGCAAGAGATCAACGCATGATCGCTCCGAGAAGTCGTGCTTCTCCAGAAGCTGCAAAGCAATCTCTTCAGAGCTGCGATCAGGCATTTCACCTCTGGCAACAGGCTGAATCTCATCGGACTTAGATTCACGCGCAGGGCAGGCAGTGCCCTCCTTCCATGATTTGAGGAAAGGCACGTTATCTCGAACATCAAGGAAAACTCTTTCACCCTCAGGAGTCTTCAAGTAAGGGCGAGTACAGGCTCTCCAAATGAAATCGAAACCTTGCTCCATGCAACGCTGTCCTATGGAGAGGACTGAAGGAGTGTCGGGCAGCACATAAGGCTTGGCAGAAATAGCAATCGACGGAACGTCGACATCACATTGCTTGTCGGCGGAGCTGGGACCGTTCGCGGTCATGATGTTGATTGGCTGTTCAGACTCATAAGCCTTCAAATGCTGGAGATCCCTCTCAGCGATTAGATCTTGTGCACTCCCTGTGTCGCCAATCCATTCAAGGTTAAGCATCTTAGAGGACCCTTTAGTCTTAGCTGGGCACGACATTCTGAGACCCTTTGGGATACAATGATTACATCCAATCTCCGAATCACACTCCCAGCGGCAGGCCGGAACGTCGTCCTTGGTAGAGATGGAAGCTTTCAGCATCTTCGCTGACATCTGGGCCTCTCGGATGGAGTCTGCTCTGGTTTCTGGAACAAAATCCAAAGGCTTTTCTCCCCGATGCTTACGGTTAGTGGGCGATATAGGAGTGAACCTCGCGTTGGGATCACTAACAGGAATGTTAATGTAATCGACTTCAGAGCTGAAATTTACCGCTGGTAGCGCCAGACTATAGGGATACGTGCAATTGGTGATCTGGTCCGTCCACTCCTTCCGGAGGGAGAAAGCATCGGCTTGGGTGGCCGAACCAGCAACAAGAGCACTGAGGAGACATACAGCAGCAGGGATACCGCCTGAAGGCTTCTTTCTGCCTGAGCCCTTCGAGTTCTTGGAGCCTTGACTTCCCTTGGAATTCCTGCTACCCTTAGAACCCTTGGAGCTAGAGCGAGAAGACTTGCGATCTTTCTTCTTCTTGCGGTCCTTCTTCTTCCCTTTGCCTTTTGACCCCTTCCCACTGGTTTCGGAAGGCGCAGCTGCACCTGGCTTGCCTGTATGGAGAAAATTACAGTTCTCCCCCCGATCGCAACGTCCTTGCTTGTAGAACTTGCAGATCTTAGGCTTACCACCGGGGCTTGCAGAGCTTGCTCGTGAGCCAGCCGGCGTGGCAGAGCGGCCGCGTCCCTTGGCCGGAGTCTGGTGCTTGTACTTACACTGGTCACCTTTGGTACAGGAACCATTACGGACCCATGAAATGCAGAAACCTTTAGGAACCCTCTTAGGTGCAGGTGCAGTGGGCACAGCAGGACTGCCCGTCTGTCGAGCCATCCGTTCCCGGTTGCGTTCAAGGCGCTTCCTGTTGAGGTGCGCATTTGCAGCATCATACAGGAAACTGTAGGACCGTTCTTTGGAACCTTCAAGAGCTCTTTCATAGATGTTGATGTCATGCGAGAGAGCTTTGACCTTCTTGACCTGTCTGTGAAATAGTGGTTCGAGGAATGATGCTTCAGGGGTTTTGGGAATCCCCGACAACACCGTGTCCCAATTTCGCATAAAGGTGAGAAGATTCTCATTGAGCAACGTGACTGAAAGCAAATCTTCCATGTCATACACCGCCCCATGCTGAGCGTTCGTCGCAAAGTAGTTGTGAATCCTGAAGAGGATCTGCCTTCCTCTAACTGGGCGTCCGGCGTTGGCCTCTGTTTCTTTGAAGGTGTCCACCTGACGTGCAAAGTCACCTTCCAGGATGTTCGACAGAGCTGAAAGGATCTTAGCATCAAGGGTGGTGAATCCTTCCGGATCACGAAGGGTTTCCTCCTTCATATCGGCTTCCCAAACCCTAGACAACCATTCGAAAGCTTTGTCGGGCTTATCAGACGCAGCTACAACAGCGTCGCGAACTCTGATGCGCCAATTGCGATAGCTCTCAGGCTGAGGAAACTTTGGGACTAACACCTTCTCAGCTTCCTTGGTTTTGGGAGCCTTATCCGATGATTCGGCTTTGTCGGCATCTTTGTCATTTGAACCACCTTTCATCATCTTCTTGAAAAATCTCTTCATCTCTTTTGGTGAAATCGCCGAAGATGAGGAAGAATCAGAGGACGAAGATGAGTCCCTCTTTTTCTTCTTCTTCTTCTTTTTGTCGTCCTTCTTTTTCTTCTTGTCTCCATCATCATCATCATCGTCATCATCTGGGTCACCTGGCTTGCCTTTGCCTTGGCCAGGCGGTGTGTCGAGGCGATGTACCTGTGGGAGACCGGGCGGTGGCCCGCTAGGACCAGGATTGCCTTCCGGCTCCCGATGATGGGGCGAATCGGTCTGACTGGCAGCCTTCTGAAGCATCTCTTGAGCTTGAAGCAACTTAGCACGAAGATCAGAGTTCTCGCTCGTGAGTGCTGAGCGGTGCTCGGCTTCAGAATTGAAGCGTCCGATCATAGCATTGAATTCAACCTTCATGCTCTCAACCTGTTCGGACAGCCTCGCATTGTGAATGGCGTACTCACTCTGGACGTTATGAGAAAGCCTCTCAAGCTTGGAGTACTCGGCATTAGCGTAGGCTTCCGCCTCGCAAAGACGTTTGTGGAGCTCAATGGCTTCAGTCCTTGCTCTGGCAAGAGCAGCAGAATGCTGATCAATGATACCTTGATCATTGCTTGACTTAGTGGCGGCTTCACTCTCGAGCTGCTTAAGATTGTTCTGAAGGACGGTATACTCATGACGCAATTGTGCCACCTTGGATGTGGCCTGGGAACTAAGTATGTTGATTTCCTCCCTATGAGCCTCCCCTATGGCTCCTACGATTTCCCTGTGGCGCGCCTCTGCGGCCATGGCAACGGCTGGCCCAGTGTCGGCGTTGACGTGGATGTCAACCTGGCTCAGCGCCAATTGCCTTGCGTCGACTTGATTCACCTGGAGCTGCCTACGGTCTATGTGCTGGGCATTGAACGTCGGAGAGAACACTGAAGAAGCTCTCTCTGTCGGTGAGTATGCTGGGGTGCTTAGCCCTGGAACCATGTTCCAAGAGTTCACGGAGCCTAAACCTGGAACGTTACCAGTGGCAAGGCGTTGCTCGCTAACTGC